AGTTAAATTTACACTAAAAGGAACTTCAAAACATTATTTGAAAGGCTTCCAGTGAAGTTCCGTGATTTGATAATAAATGAGCTGGCATTAAATTGATTTGGAATACATATCAATTCATATTACTTCAAATAAGCCATGTAGGAGGTTCTATTGTCTGTATTATTTCATTTGAGGAAACTGCTAGTGCATGGAGGACAGCTCAGACATAATGAAAAATAAATACAGAAAAATAAATGCACAGTAAATACACTGGCATACAATCAAATGAAAAAAATACCTAAAATCCTCCATATATTTGTGCTCGCATCTCATTCCATTAAAATTCTGCATGAGAGAAGTAGCTGAAGATCTCTTTTGTTATTCTTTCTCCCTTATTTTCTGGTAAAGCTGATAAAAAAATATGATCAACATATATTTGTTTTATTGTAAAAACATTAGCAAGCCCTAAAAGTTTTTGAAAACGTTGAAAATATTTAATAGCTTTATGAGTAATTTGACAGCATGTATGTGTGTGCTGTGTACCCGATAATGGCCTAAAAACATGTTTACTGTCAGTTTTGTGTGAAGAATATATTTATAATGCAGATATTTATCCATCTCTTCTTATCTTAATTGGGTTTTGTTTCTGTGCAGTTTAGACATAAGCCTATTTAATTGTTTTATTAATTATTTGACAGCACTTTTGTTACCAATTGTGCAACTCTAAATGTCCTTTAAAATAATGACAGGTTAGAAAACTGCCTGCAATCATTTACGTATGTAGAAACAAGAGGAAAAGCAAATATTTAGAAGTTTAACATTATTTTTCTTTATGAATTAGCTTTTCTCTTCTATGTAAAATGTATGTTTCAGTGTCGATTCCTTTAAAGAAAGATGAGAGAAAACCAACTGAAGATCACTCTGATTTCTTTTTTAATGGTATAACCGCTTCATGAATAAACTATCATACTAGCATTTATTCTTGTGTACCTTGCAAAAAGAAGGAAGCCAGTTATTTTAATTTGATATAAAGCTTGATCAGCATTTTGACAAAACCTATTAAAAGCTTTACACAATTAACCGCGCTCCAAAAATAAAAATATTCAAGATACATTTTTCCAAGGGTCGAACACACAAATTTTTGTCACAGTCTGTGAGGATGTTGATTTATAGATGATTGATATTTATAGAATAATAATATTTTTGTCTCTGTGCGAGTTAAATCAATTTTTCTTAATCTGTTTTGAAATAAGTATTCTTGATAAATAAATCAGGAAGCATCCACAGTTCTAAAATTATGACATTTTTAATAATTGTTGGTGGATGCATTTTAACAACCTAACAACTCCATTGAACTTTTTGCACTGAAATTTTCTTTCACTTTCAAAAACAGGACATGATCTCCAATTCTGAAATCTAGTGACAATGAACAAGAAAGCAGACCAAAAAACTATTCTACCAGGAGTGTCTAAGATAATGGGTGAACCAGTGGCAGAGCAGCTGATATGTTTCTTGAAAAAATTTGCTTCATGATTCAGTGCAGTTTGGGTTTGACTAGGGATATTCGAAACAATTGACTTCCACCTTCCTTCCAGAGAAATTAACAGCTTCTTAGATGGTGGTACGGTGGTTTGGGCGGTCATGCCAGGTTTGAAAACACTTTTAAAATAGTAAACTATATGATACTCCAATATAAACTTAGCAAACTCTGTGTGTCTCTGATGAGTTGTTTTGTTCATATCTAAAGAAAAAAAAAAGAGTGAATTAAAGTAAAAGGAATGAAATCATGCTCCTAAAGCTGGATAATGGGATGTTCACAAGGTTAAACTTTAGGACCATTGCTTTTCTGTCTTTATGTCGGTCATTTCAGACGATACCATCATATACATATGTGCAAAGTCTCAAAGAGAGGCAGCAAAGAATCCGAGCAGAGAGACGATGTCTCAGCAGTTAAAGAATTGTGTTGGATTCTGAATTAGAAGGAAATATATTCTCAGTCTTTTTAGCAAACCTGTGAAGTCTGCTGTAACTTCTCCATTATGACTGATCAGAGAGAAATCCAAAAGAAGTTGAGTTTAAATATCTGACTATGGCTTTAGATTCTCCAAACTTGAAAAGTCTCTAGAGCTAATAATATTACTACCCGCTTTCCTCTCATGAGGGCATGTTTATCTGTAAATGTTGTCCAGTTGGATCTTCATGCCATGATTCTGTCCTCTCTCTCATGTGTCACTGTTTGTAGCCAAGCAACCAAATCTGCTTTAAACCCTGTAATGGTAGCAAGTTTCAGACCAGAAAACGAAGAGATGGCACCACTGTAACATACAAAGAGAACTCACTCTATTAAGTTTAATTTCTTAAATTTCTCCTTTTTAATATTGACTTTTTAAAGCATCACTGACTTTGTCCAAGAGCCAGTGAACAGGGTGATCTTAAAAGCCAGCAGCTCAGGAGTTGCAACTAGAGGAGCAGCTAATAAGGTCTGCAAACTTAATAAGTTGGACAGTCTTCATCTCATTCTGAGCTCCTCAGATTCAGAACAGTTTACCTGCAGCAATAGATAACACATTCAGCTCTACGGTTAAAAAATGGTTAATACAGAAATGAATGAATAATTATTTAAATAAACTTACTTAGCTGCAGTTTGGACCGTTTTTCTAGATGTTTCCCATCCTCTGTCAGTGGTTTTAGTTATTTTGCCCATAGATTTGTTAACTTGTCGTCAAAGTGTAATATCCCACTTTAGGGGGCATAAATGTACTTGTAGGCACCAGTTAAATGGTATCTAAGAGGGAAAACTAGCTTAGAGTGAGGGTCTGGGTAGAAATGAACTGAAGGCAATGGAAAGTCACCATAAGAATAACTGAACATAACTTGTAGCCTATGCAAAATAATTAGTTTCATCTTGATGGATCTTCAAGTAAAGTCCAACCAAGGACTGGGTTTGCAAATTAGCCAGGGTGACCAAACGTCCTCTTTTGCCCGGACATGTCCAATTTTTACATCCTGTCCGGGGTGTCTGGAGGGGGCTTATAAATTCATGAAAATGTCCTGTTTTCACTGTTTTTCATGGGACCATAATCATATGCTTAAATGGGCTGGCGCTTTGCAGAGAATACTGCCACACTTTTTTGACCTATGTAATTTAGGTGATATTTAGAACATTTGATTTTATTTATGTATTTTAAAAGAGAGCTATGATTTTGTTTCTGGTTGTTACAGATTTGGTTTTACTACAAAGGTTATTTTTGTACCATTTAGGTAAAATAAAGCATGGTCATTAACCTTTGAGAAGCCTGTCTGAATCTGTCTTGAGGTAAAGTGGGCAAAGTGTCCTCTTTTTTGGAAATCAAAATATGGTTACCCTAAAATTAGTCATCGGCTAGATAATCTTTATGCAAAACAATGGCTGCACCATTTTAATATGTTAGTGTGTCCTATGTACTGTTCTTGACCAAATGAACGTAACGTACCGTACCCAAGTCGACCTCACAAACACTTTGCTTTCTAGTATGAAAAAATGTAAGGGTCCAAAAGTCTCATTCAATTTAGCTCTGGGTCTTTCTACCTTAAGTGGAAATTATTTAATCTAAACCATAACATTCTAGCTCTGCTAGTACTTTGGAAAACATCCTTGGGCCTGAAACATACCATAGGGTTTTATTATTCTACAACAAATCAAGGCTTCTAGTTTTCAACCAGCATTGTCCTTTAACCTTTCTTGTCCAAGCAGAAGAAAAATGATGCAGCCTCCACCAGAATTCACCATCAGAAAGCAGCTAGCTTTTATTTGCAGCTCCTCATTCAGCCAAAGGGCTTTCTTGTTCTTTTCATGTCTTGGTAAATTTCTAGTCATTTCATTTTCTTCGTTTTCAGACAATTAAGTAAACAGTGCTACTTTAGATTTTTTGTTTAGAGTGCGTTTAGTCCAACTCTGCTTTAAAACCCTCCCCAGCTTTACCTTTGATTCATCCGCCATGTTTCTTCGCCCTCATTTATTCCCTAATGATCTCCAACAAATCTAGAGCACCTTCAAAGAAGAGCTGAAACTGAATTACACACAGTTGGACTATTAACTATTAGACTTGTGAGGGCAATTTGTTATTCTAGACTTTTAGGAGTTTCTAAGTGAAGGGGAATGTATATAAATACTTACACTTCAAATTTTTAAGTCATTTTTACACAGTTTAACCTCCAGTATAAGGGGCCTCATTTTGCTCAATCAATATCTTAGGTGGTTTTAATCTATTCCATTAAATTCCCTTTTTACAGTATCATTATGAATATTCTAAGGAGTTTCTTAAAATGAATCCAAATGACAATGCCAGATAGTCTCTCTGCTGCATCTTATTTCAGCCTTAGGATACAAATAGCAGTGTGTTCCGTCAGGTTATTGAGTCTGTAATAAGACACCCTCTTCTCAACATGTCAGGAGTAACAACCGGCAGCCATTATCAGAACTCTGTAGCTTCATAAAAATCTCTCAGCATATGAACAGCAGGGCGGCTTCTTTTTCACCCAAATAAACTAACAATATCCCAAGATTTTATTGGAAAGTTATAATAGAAATCAGAGTCAATAAAGACATGACATATTTCCTCTAAACCATTTATTAGAATATTTCTTTATTATTTTCCCTTCTACCCGCAAGTCATGACAACACAACAAACGCATAATAGACACTTTCCTCTCTGCGAAAGTAGTGAAAAAAAAAAATAATTGGATTGAGCACGTCTACAGCGAGGGAAAAACGACACAGATCTTCACATTCACACAGAGACAGCATAATAAAGAAAGAAATGTGACCGACAAGCTGTGACAGTTTATTCTCAAAACAAAAAGTTAAGTAGTACGTAAACCTTTTAAGTAAAGGCAGAGGACTGAATGTCCACGTCTGGTTGTCAGCCTTTACAGCTAGAGCACTTTGTGCGGAAGTTAACTTTGCACACGGACCGTTCTCAGTAGACTCATCAGTGCAGCACCAGTGCATGCGTCAGCTTGTCCCTTTTTTTCTTTATGGGGGAATTATACCAAAAGATAAAAAGGAAAAAAACCAAGGGAATGACAGCATTACAAAAATGGTTCAAACAGAGAGGAGGGAGGGAGGGAGAGTAGTACTGCGAGTTGAGGGACCTCGCCTGGGTGTTTATGCCTTGGCATTGATGATGTCGATGAATTCTGGCTTTAGGGAGGCCCCGCCCACGAGGAAACCGTCCACGTCCTTCTGGGAGGCAAGTTCTTTACAGGTACCACCGGTTACTGAACCTATGAAGCAACATTAAAGTATGAATAAAGAATAATGTGCTGCAATTATCCAGTCATTTACCCTTTTAATACAAGAAGCTCACCTCCATAAATGATCCTCACAGAGTTGGCTACGGCCTCAGACACATTGGTCTTCAGCCATTCCCTCAGTTTCTCATGAACTTCCTGAGCCTGAGATATCACACAATAAAAAAAAAATGCATGAAACCGCACAGCATGGCCTTTTGTGGCGAAACATTTAGTTATTTCTAATATTTACCTGCTGTGGAGAGGCAGTCTTGCCGGTGCCGATGGCCCAAACAGGCTCATAAGCGAGCACGACCTTGCTCCAGTCCTTTACATTGTCTATCAATGAGATAAGACTTGGCATTGTACAAGCAGATGTATTTTTACCCCCAAAGCCGAAATGGAGTTGCATCACTCAGCTTCCCTGCTGAAAGCTACATACCTGCGATGACTTTGGTCTGAGCAAACACCACCTTCTCCGTGATGCCTCCCTCCCTCTCGTCCAGCTTCTCACCGATGCAAGCGATCACGCCAAGACCGTTCTCTAGAGCATGAGCAGTCTTCTGCCCAATCAGCTACAAAAAAAAAAAAAAAAAGTAGAATTAGTTTTATATTGAACTCCCACCGGTCTAAAGCAGATAGTGGTGGGTAATACCATGATCCTGTTTTACCTCGTCGCTCTCTCCGAAGACGTGGCGCCTCTCGGAGTGTCCCAGGATTACCCAGTTCACACCACAGTCCTTGATCATCGCAGGGCTGAGAAAGAAAAATCGTGAGGATGGTACCAAAACTGCTCTGAAGTTAAAGATTATAAACTGGACTGGTTTTCTTCTCAGTACCTGATCTCCCCAGTGAAGGCACCCTTGGGAACTTTGTAGCAGTTTTGAGCTGCGACCCCGAACTTGGCATCCAGTTTGGATCTGGCAAAGTCCAGGTAGATGGATGGAGCACCACACACCACCTCTGTTAACAAAACAGAAAAAAACTGTAAGTTTTTACTGTAACTGTAAGGTTTTCAGCAGTATGGCACCATTGCCCCTTAATAGCGCTGCACGCTGTTAATCACCTGGAAAAAAAGGCATTTACAAATGTATATTCATTACATACAGCCATTTCTATACATTCCCAGCATTATACAAATGGCCCATTTGGTAGGCTGGCAGCTGCACGTTTATTATGATGACTACTGCAGGCTGGTAACCAGAGCAGACAGTATAAATACTGTAATTAACCTGCCACACCAACTTATATCCTTCACCTTTACCCTTTAAAAGGCAGAATGTTAATTAAAAATAAATTCAGGTTAGGGTACAATTTAATTGAATGCATCAAAAATAGATAATTCCACCAAATACATTAAAAAACTCAATAATAATAACAATTACACTGCTTGATGCAATTTTGTTTGTAGTAAGAAAAAAATGATGGGTCGTTTGTTCTAATGCAGAACTGGATAATATTATATTTTCTCTACTTCTCGGTGTTGAATGCCACCTGCTGATAATTTTAACCAGTTTCATCTTGTTTAAATCACTATACTATCAAAGCGGGAGAAATTTAGCAGGTTCATTGATGAAAATATTAGCTTTTAACAGAAACAGTCATGGCCCCCATTTAGGAGTCAAAGTTTTTTCCCGAATTTCATCATTTCCCCCTCAAATTAACTTATAAAGTACAATAATGGATAAAGTCGATGCATTTATTTCCTAAAACATGCTGAAGTGTTAAATATTCAATGCTCAATCTGGAGACTGTTTAAAAGCCATATTTCATACATGCATGCCACTTAGGCTAAATACCTGACCAATCGTTTTGTAATATTTCAAAACAAAGAAAATCTGTTAGAGTCTGTAACATTTCACTTACTGCAGACTGCAGCAGACTACATGAATACAGTGAGGTCAAGATACTGACATTCACAATGTAACTGTATCTTTGGAGTTCCTAGGACCTATATTAGACACTGCATGGTATTACTGGTTTGGTAAAAGGTCATTTGTCCTGGCTTGGAGTCATCCAAATTAAAGGTCTGAGTTCAACCTCTAAAAGGTCACTGAGGGGGGGTACATTCTGCAGAGGTCGAGGCCCAGTCATGAGCCCCTGCGTTCAAAAGTCAAACGAGTAAAAATAACCAGAGGGAAGAGAGAAATTTGGGAGGAAATGGCAGAAATTTGAGAGGTAATGAGAGCATATCAAGTTTACTAGAGTAAAGGGGTGGATTCATCTGGAGAGCAAGGTCCAGGGATAGTTGCTCCTGAATGGGTCAGGCTTGTTAAACTCAATAATGCAGTTGCATAACCTGGAGTTGCAGAAGGGATTGACACAATCAATTTCTGCCAGTAGCTTCTTCCTCCGTCTGGTTTGTCTCTAGTCTGCAGAGGCAGGCAGCAACAGCGCATGCGTTGCATTCAATTCACGTCGGAAAGAGTAAATCTCCGACTAGTCCCTATAAGTGCATAATGCGAACGCTTGTGCAGCTCAAAATCACTAGGATTGTGTTTTTGTTGTACGATCTCGGCCAAAACGCCCAGTCAGGTGCAACAACGCATCAACAACCGCTGGACCCCGATGTAAAATTGATCGTAACCACCGTTTGAACTTGAACGCACCCCGCGAGTCAGCGGGACTACGTGCTGCTGCGAGCGCACACCCACCACCGACATGACGGAGGGAGCCCTCCGTGTCCTTCATTCGTGTCCCCCAGCAACTTGCAGCCACTGGCCTAAAGTTAACAAATCTACAGCTTTAAATTCGGATTTTTCTTTTTCTTTTCTCTATTAATCTTTTAAAGACCAATGAGGAGGAGGAGATTGGTGATGCTAAAAGTCTGATTCAATGAATTACCGAGCCGTTTCCAAATAAAAAACTGCCAACTACACGAATTTAAACGTCTCGGCTTTGTGCATTTTTCAAGATGTCCCTTTTCGTATTGAAATGGTTTGACGTCTGTCAACAATCACGACTTACCGACATTAGGATCCACCTTGCCTGCGTTCAGGGTCTGGATGAGCTCCCCAAGGCTTTTTTTGTCGCCGTTCATTTTCCAGTTTCCACCGACGAAGAATTTCCTGGTCATGTTTGCGATTTTCTTGGAGAGAAAATGTACTAAATATTAAAACAGAACACAAGGGTCCTTCAAAGCTGGGGCGAAAAAGCGACGGTAGGGGGCAGTTAATGGATTTTATAACGACGGAAGTCATGACTCCTCCTCTCCTTTACGGGGATTGGTCCGTGTGTGGCAGGACGTCCGTGAACGCATCTCCATAGACTAGTCACTAAGAAGGGGAAAAGGGAAATGTCACGGTGCGTTCAAGTACTGTGTGAAATCATCCTGTCACAATCCTACAGCTCACACAAGAGGCCTATTTTTTTAACGTCAAAATTATATAAAAAAATGTTTTCTCGATAAAAATAAATACGACGTAACTTTGACTGATGAAGTTTTTAAGACGCGACAGTGGCAATGATATTCAAAATACACTGTGGGCTGTAGAAAAGTTATTTAGATTTTCGCCAGATATCATACAAATAATAATAATAAAAAAAAAGTCTCCAGCGTTTATAGTGGTCAGAAGATATGTACATTTTATATTTATTCACAACAAAACAGGAGAAGAAAAGTGTCGTAAAGCTTTCAGGTTTGTCAGAGGAGTCGACATTAGCTCAACAGTCATTCATACTGCTCTATAGTTCTGTGAACGACAAAAAAGACAACAATTTACTCTCTGTATGTTTTTATCGTGCCAAATAAATGATCTAATGTCTCAAATGCTTTTATTCTATTGTATTTTCAATAAACAAGCAATCAAAAAATAAAAAATCATAAGTTGGACTCCAATGTCTCACACTGCCACCTTATGGCCATCAAATATAATTTCCCAAATGTCATTAACCGACACCGAATATTTATACTCTAGAGGGCGCTGTTCTTCTTTACACCAGTATTATTCATTCATAATACCCAGAATGCATTGAGACAAAAAATCCGCGTATGAGGCATCTAAATTGTGTATATTAAAGCTTTGTTATTGACGTTCATCATATTCATTGTCATGTCCCCTTCTTTTATTAACAATATATCTTAGAAAACTTGGCATTTCTATATTTACAAATTCGACAAAGTGCACCATAATACAGCTTGCGTGTCTGATGTTCAAGTAGTCCAGCGTACCTAATAAAAAGCCAGGAATCTTTGCTCTTAAGATATTTGTCTAGCAGGTTTCTCATAATGAGAAGCCCCCCTAATTTGTTTAACGTCATCAAAATATAATAGTTCTCTAAAGACATGAATGACTTGAGAACGATATAGTATTGTCAATGAGTTAACTCAAATATGTAGTAAGCAGGTCTGTTAGACTATAATTGTTACTCACTACTCTATACAGTAATTAATGTTCAATAAAAACTACCATTGCTGTTGTTCCAAAGATTCACCAAAGACTTCGTGGTTTTTACGTTTTTTTTTAGAAAGAGGAACCCATTTGAGATTACTGTTTATTATTTTCCCAATTCTTTAAAATAGTTTAAAAATGCTTATTGTTCTATGTTCTATATAAGAATTATAATGAAATTGTGGTTGTCTAACAACTCAAAAAACTTAATAGCCGGTATAATTCATCAATCCTTTAACTATAAACATTTATCCTTGCTTGGTCACTCTCCTATGGAAGAGGATTAGCGCCACTGAAAAAGAAAAGTTTATTGTTTTTTTTAAATTTTATTTCAGTGTAATATAACAAAAAAGTCAAAATTCTGACTTTTTCCTCACAATAGGCTCTATGCACAGCTCCACTACTTCCTGAATTTAAGGCAGCTCCTTTGTTTCCTGTCTTTCATGATTGGATGCACTGATTAATCCTGGTGTGTATGACCTAAGTAACTGGCCAGACACACCTGGATTAATCAGTTCGTCCAGTAATGAAAGACAGGAAACAAAGGAGCTGCCTTAAATTCAGGAAGTAGTGGAGCTGTGCATAGAGCCCATTCTGACTGTTTTCTGGCATCTAACAAACATGTTAGCATCAAGCCATAGCCATGTCTGTTCTAGAGATTAGCTATCCATTAATGCTGCTTTTCCATTAATGAAGTAGCATCACCGGGGACCCCTCTGGCACGTAAAAAGTCATCTAATTCTGTCATTTTCCACCAATGTGTTGCTGGCCCTCGCAATCAACTCACATATTTGTCAGTGAGGCTGAGTGCTCCCACATCTCTTCCTTCATGGTGCCCATCTACATTAAAATCCACAATTTGGAGGAAAAAGTCAAAATTCTGACTTTTTCCCCCCATATTAAACTGAAATCAAATTTAAAAATCAGTCAACTTTTTAAATTTTTTTCAGTGTCCCTAATCCTCTTCCGTACTCTCCGGCTGCTGCCTAAATTCAGCAATCTTTGGGGTTAGAGTTTAGGTAAACCCTGGACAGATCACCACAGCAAGGTGACAGAGACACACAGGACAACTATGCACACATTCAATTACATCTACAGCCAAATTACAGATAGTTTACACAAACTCAATGCAAACATCCTTGCTATAAAAAATATTTTATTTCATTATTTTAACAGAAATAAAATGCAATAAAAAAAGAAAACTTCTTTTTATAATTTCTATGGTTATACAATATGAGGCACAATAGGATTATTTCCCCACAGTGTGGGGTGTTCTGTCATTAAACTGCAATATCATGTCTGTCTGATTAGCAAAGTAGACCTAAGTATGAATTTATATAGATGAGTCAAGGCAAAAGATTCACATACACCGTACACTACATGCAAAGATTGATATTTATTACAGTCTAAGATTAATTCAAACATATTTTTCTCCCAGATGTCTGAAGGGTCTTATTCATGTAATCACTAAAGAGACATGCAAAATTTATGTATCCATCTAAGAACAAGGAACTTTTGTCTAGATTCAATGTAGCTGCTAAGAGGGTTGTAATGATCAACAGTGAAACTATTTATATACTAATAAGGGCTGAAAGGTCACTCTTTGGTGAGGAAGCAATAACTCCGACAGCAACACAAAAAGCCTGATTATTGATTCAAAATTCCAAATGCAAAAAACAAATGCATGTTGTTTTTTTCTGACATGCTGTCTAATCTGCTGAAATAATTAACATTGTCATGCGGTGTGGATGTTTTGCTGCAAAGGATTAACAAAGATAATCTTAACAATGTAATGAGGCAAAATTTCAAGACATTATTTTGAACTGTAAACGAAAAGAAAAATGCAAGTTGGTACGAAGTTACTTAAGAACAACAAAATAATGTGTAGGAATAGAAATCACACATACAAAAAAAAAAAAATTAAATAAACAAATAAAGATCTGGGTAGAGACTAAGCAATGTGAGTACAGGGCTTGACTCAGAATCATAATAAATCTTTCAGGAGAAGCTTGGTTAAGGATGTCAACAACCTTTGGCCCGACTAAAATGGCAGTTCTGATAAACAAACAAATGTATGTATTCTTTCAAAATAAACCACAAAAATATCAAAACTTTATTCCTTACATAAAAAATGCTGGAATGTTAATGGACCTTAAAAATACTCCTTTAAACTGTAAAAAATTTGCTTCAACTGTGTCCGTGGATCCAAATATAATAGTTTCATTGAAGTAACGGAAATTGGGAAATATATCTATTTTAACCTTAAACAAAACAAACATGAACTCGAGTAACTTTTGGTTGCTGATATGGAGGAAAGGTCCCTCCTCTTTCTCATGCTATCCCAGCAACCAATCAGCATCCAGCCGGTAATATTCACACTCAGGGGAAGGGGGGTTGGTTCTTTTCACTTAAAATATACATTTCCAAGCGTTTAATGGAAAAAAGTACTCCATGAAACATACATTCTGTCAAAAATTATTTGAACGGTAAAAAAAAATTTTTTTTATATGTTTTCTCAACATTTTATCGAGTGTCGATAGCTGTAGTTCCTTGTAATGAACACACGGGGGCGCACTTGGAACACAACCCCACCGTCTGTTTTCAATGAACATTTTCTTATTCGGTTCTTTCACCGTCAGTTACACTAAAAAAAAAAAAAGCGTTTACATTTGGATAACTTGCGAATAAAGTTCCAAGAAATACGATTTAGAAAAGAAATAACAATGCTTGAAATAATAATAACAAAAGACACGTAGGGAGGGCCGGTAGGAGGAGAAAACTGACAGTTAAAGGAGGTCGAGCCTTTACAACGTCGATATGAGGTTGCGCTATTAAAAAGGCATAGCCCGTAAAGTTCTACAGACCCGTCGCTGAAGACAGGATTCCGCCCACAAGAAAGATGGCGGCTCCCTTGCTGGAGAAACTGTCGGAGTCTCTAGGTTCGCCGGAGCCAGCCGTTCGCCTCATATTATCGGTGTTAATCGGTGAGTTTGCAGTGACTTTGTTAGCCATGAAGGCTGACAGCAGTGACTAACTGCTGCTCTGTGTTACTGTTAGTGTCAGCTAACTCAGCCAGACAGCTTTAAAATGCAAACCAGCTTCTATGTATGTGGCAAAATAAAATATATTATTTAAAGTAAATACACGTCCTCATAAGCTTAATATCAACGTGGCTAGGAGTACAAGTATGTTCAGCTGAAGGCGACTGATTCACTATTAAGAAAGGTACATTCACTTTGCAGTAGCAGACTTCTGAAATAGAGCTGACCACAGTTTGGTTTAACTGCCTGTGGTTTCAGTGGGTTTCTGTGGCTAAGATGTGCTGTTAGAACCTGCTAGCTACCCAAACAAGCCCACCAGTTTAAGCCCTATGGAGGTCAGAATCTGCCACAGTTCAATTACTTTGGATTAAAATAAAACAGCTTGGAAATGTATTGCTAATTTCTGTATTGTGATGAATTAGAATATTATCCAAAAGTCACTATAAAGTTGAAATTTAAATTCATAAATGCAACACGTGCTGTGTAGATGTATTACATACACTGAGGTGGTTTTTCCAGATGTTTGTTTTATAATAATAGAATAAAGCTGATGACAAACCTACATTATTTTTCTTAGAAATTGTCTGAGAAAAAGAAAATAAACACGTTTTTGTTACAAAAATGGGAAAATTTAAAAGTATTTGCAGGATCTTCATTCTTGGGCTGCTTTTACCAAATTGCAGCATCAGTGCAGGAGGCATAAGGGAAACCAGCCTTTTCCTCTGCTCTGAAGAAGCC